ATATTTAGAAAATATATTTCAAAAACTTTAACTAAAATCTAAAATCAAAAATATTTATGCATTTATGTTTACATACATATCTTAGCTTCTACCAATTTAAATTAAATGAAAATTTAATATATTATAGATTGATATTATATCAAGATTATATCAAATTTTGAACTAATTCTGATCGGTATATCTTGAGATATACGATGTTAAACATAGTGTTCAGAGACTTTTAGCGGCCCTCTGCATACATTACCTGAAAATAAGTTTGAGCAGTTTTGAAAAAATAGTAAATAAATTTGTACAGTTTCGAAAAAGTAGTTTATTATTTTTTGTTAACAAAATATTAATATCTAGTTGACCAACTATTATTTGTAATACATGCTTCTATTCTTTGAAACATATTATCAATTAATTTTAGGTAAGTTTCTTATAAAATTTTTTTCCATTCTTCTTTTAATTGCACTTCTAAATCTACAAGATTTTTAGGCAGATCTGAATGGTTATGCAACAAATGTTTAAGATGATCCCAAAGATGCTCAATAGGATTCAAATCTGAAGATTGAGTAGGCCAATTAATTAATATTTTGATTTTTTTTAGCAACCCATACTTTAACATCATTAGCCATATGAATGGATGCATTATCATGCTAAAATTTATAAGATCAGTTACAAAACTTTGAATCAATAAATGGCAATAGGTTATCATCTAAGATTTTTATATAATCATGCTGATTGATTATTCCTTCTATTTTCACTAAAGGATCCAATCCTTTGCCTGAAAAATATCCTCAAACTATGATCTCACCACCACCATGTTTAACAGATAGATTTAGGTTTTCAATATTAAAACAAGTGCCTGGTTCACATCAAACTTGAGAAAAACTATCATTACGAAAAGAGTAAACTTTGATTCATCGCTTCATATGATATTTCTCCATTGTTGCACTGTCTAATTTTATTTTTCTAAGTATCATTCTAGTCATTTTTTGCATTGATTTTCATTTAAAAGTGTTTTTTTTGCAGCTCAATAAGAATTGGCATAAAAACGTACACAAAATAAAGCATTTAATTGACTTAAACTGATTTATCTTGATAAAAGAATTGACTATTGGAAGTCATATTCAGTAAGACATACCCTCGCAATCTTACATAATAATGAAGAAATTTGCGAAATGATGAATGTGGCTTATTTAGCATGTAATATTATTTTATCTAATCAGGATCTTACTAATATAAGTAAGATTGAAATGAAACGAAATCAGCAACGCTTACATAATGTTATAAATATCCAAAAATTAAATCAAAAGCAAGCAAATGAATTAAAAATAAATGAGAAAATCTTGAAACATTTGATTAGTCTCAGATAATTCATATTGTTATCAAATATGTATATACTGTATCTTTATAAATGTTTTATTTATTATTCATTTTTTTTTAATAGGAACTTATACCTACAGCAAGAAAGCTCAATATAATATTGATACAAATCAATTCTATTCTTTTTTTGCATTGCAAATACCAGATTTTGATAAAATAACAAAATGTGTTACTTGTCATGCATTTCCAACATGTACCGCAAGAGGTTTTTGCTGTGTTTGCCATTTCTATATTGAAAGTGGATTATGGGATCAGATTGTTGATAAAAATTATCAACCAAAGATTAAAAAACCTGCCAATGTCAGTTTCAAAATAATGTGTATATCAGCAATATATAGTATTTACCAGTTTTGTGATTTTTGGAATGGACAAATGGAAGCAATTCAATCTTTTGTGCACAATCAGGATACAATTATTATAAAACAAACAGGAGGTGATAAAGTTTATGTTATACTATAGCAGCCATTCTTTCATAAGGAATTACCGTGGTATTTTCTCCCTTAAAAGCACTTATTGATGACCAAGTAATGGAATTGATTAAAGCAGGAATTGTTTGTGATGGTCTTTATGCATCAACAGAGTAACTATTGCAGTATCAAAAGAAGTTTTTAAAGAAATTACTTGTGAATTAACATGAGTTATATTTATAACTCCTGAAAAGTTTCAGATAAATGCAGGCTTTAGATCAATACTACAAAGGTATGGTACAACAAAGAGAATCAGATTTGTAATGGATGAAATATATTGTATTTTAGACCAAGAAAATTTTCGGTAGGCTATTTCAGATATAAATTATAGAGAATTTAGCATTTTCTTCTAATCAAAATTTATTTTATTAGTAAATCATAGGCTTAACTTAGAAATCTCAAAGTACTTTTCCCTCTGCGCTTATTTTACTTTTACTGCAACTTGCTGTTAAATTGATTTACAGAAAATTACCACACGACTTGAAATAGACTACTAACAAGCTTCTCTTATTTGTAACATATGATATTATTAATATCTATAATGAAATAGAGAATGGCAAATGTATCATATATTGTCCTTCTATAAAGGGCTGTGAAAATCTTACCACTGAACTTCAAACTAAAGTTTCAAAAGAAATAATTGCTATATATCATAGTAAATTGTCTATCAAACAAAAATCAACCGCCCTTTTAAACTGGAGATCTGGATAATAGTCATCATAAATGCGTTTTAAATGGATATTAATATATCAGATATTTGTGTAGTAATCCATGCAGGATTTCCTATATCCATAAGTAAGTTAAGAAATATAAACTCACTTTATAAAAATTACTAATATATGTATATTTTATAGAAAACTTAGTATAAGAAAGTGGACATGTAGGTCGTGATGGATTGACTGTAAAGGCAATTATTATGTATAGCCAAAAAAACATTAGAACAATAATGGGAATTTATTTAAATGAACAGCCCAGATAAATTTTATATCTTTTTGTCTGATAGATGTAAAAATTAACTAAGAAAAATTTATGTGAAACCTATAAGTATCAATGTTAATGAAGAGGAAGGAGAAATAGAATCAATGGAATGTCTTAAATATTTATCTGAAGCAAAACGTAAGATTCAGGAGGTATTATTTTATTGTTCTTCAATTTATCAATGTAGGAAAAAGATGATTATTGATTATTTTGCATGGCGAAAAGATCTAGCATCAAAAGAATGTAACATTTGTAATAATTGTCTTCAGCGTGTATCTGATAAACCAGTTTGGGTTGATATCCAAACAGATATGAAAAAAATGTTGCAGATAATAGAGATCATTACAAGTGAAAGACAACAAATAACAAGAAATAATATAATTGATGTATTCTGTTAGTCTCAAGCAAAGGATATTAAAAATAAGTTTGGAGAACTGCCAGTTTATCTAGAAAAATTTTCAAGAAAGCTCAAAACTAAAGAGTATGTATTTTTGTTATTAGATGATTTGATTTTGTGTGATCTTGTAAAAGAGAATATAATTTTGACAAGATTACCAATGGCACAAACATTTACTTGTAGTGTATTTATTATTAGCATTGCAGATGGAGCCATTGCTAAAACTAATACAGAAGATTGGTGATACCTAATAAAAACTAGTCGATAAATACACGCAATAATAATAACATTAGTAGTAATATAAATAATATAATAGTAATATAATATCAATAGTATTAGTATAGTAATAATAATAACAATAATAGTAATAACATATTATAATAATATAATAAATAATAATAAACAATAATAGTAATAATGTTTTATTTCAAGTTGTTAATGCAGGCCAGAATTAATTTCGGTCAGCATTATGTGTAAATGACTTTGACATTTTTTTGCTATACTAGTTATATAATAATGATGATGTCACATACTCTACCCTTAATGAATTATGACCTTCAAAAATAAAGATTTGTTATAGTGAGGTTTAACTATACTATTATATTATTAGTTATTATATAGTAGCATTTCTACATAAAAATAAATATAAAGCTAATTTATATTAGATCTATAGATAAAATAAATTAAAATAAAAACTGTAAAATAAAAAAATAAAAGTCAAAATGATCAAAATAATATCATTATATTACATAATTTTTTATATACAAAAAAATCTAAAAATGAATAATTTCAATATACAGTATATCATTCTATTTCTTATAAAATAACTATCATTCAATTTTTCATAACTAGATATATCTAATAAATTATAGCTGATAATTTAATTGCAAATATCATATGATTAGCTAATTTAATATTGATTAATTTTAGCTTATTCAATCTATCTAATCATAAGGAATCTATTAGTAATTATATTATAAGAACATGATAATATTGACCAAAATTAATATATTTTATATTAAGTTTTTTTCAATATAAAAAATCATATAATATAATTAGAGTTTTGCAATTCAATTTAATATTTAATCAAATTTAAATTAATCTTTAATTATATTTGATCAAAATTAAATCAAATATTCAAATATTTTATTTGATTCAAATCAATTAGTAAATCATTACAAAATTTAAAGATATTTTTTACTAAGAAAACTATAGTAAAAAATGCCTTTGTAACTTCAGAAATATTTTTATTAATAAAACTATAGTAAAAAGGCATTCTGCAGCTTTAGTACTAAGAAACTATAATAAAAAATGTTTTTTACAGTTTCAGAAATGATTTTAAAAAATAATTATAGTAAAACATGTCTTTGTAGCTTTAGAAACATTTTTTTTTACTAAAAAATACTTTCTAAAAGCATTTCAATAACTTTAAAAACATTTTTTTTACTAAGAAATACCTTATAAAAATACCTTTATAATTTTATAGATAATTTTATTTATTAAAATAGATTTAAAGCTACAAAGGTTATTTATTATTACTAAATTTTTTTAAACAAAACTGAAGCTGTAAATTTTCTTAGTAAAAACTGAAGTTATAAAGTTATTTTATTAAGCTTTTTTAGTAAAACTGAAATTGCAAAATTGGTTTATTAAGTCTTTTAGTATTATGCTAGTTCTTTGAATTGTTTAACTTAAATAATTAATATATTTATACATACAGAAAATTTCTTTATAAAGAAAATAAGGTATATATGTATATAGTAAATATAATAAATATATTAAAATCCAAAAATTATATAACAAGAAAAACTTGATGTAATACTAATGATTAATAGAATATAGCAGATAGTTAATATAGATCATATTCAAATATTTCATAAAAAAAGAATGATCTATGATGTAATATATAATAAAGCTAAAAATTATAATCATTAAAAGAAAAAGATAAGAGAAAAGACATTATATAATAATTGAATAATAATTACTCAATTATAATACTACATAATATTTAAGTGATAATTACTTAATTGTGATACAAATGATAGAAGAATTATGTCATTGTGAATTATAAAAAAAACTCTTTCTTACTTCTTCTAAAAAATTTTTGGAAACAAATATTTTTTAGAAAATAAATTCACTTTGCTAAAATTTTATTAATATTTTTCAATTCCATTAATTAGTTTATTATTCTACATCTCATTCAACACTTTTATTTCAAAAGAGATATGAAAATTTCAAAAAAATGGTAAAAAAAAAAATAAAAGACAAATTGCTTAGAAAAATAAGTTTCATTTTGATTACAAAAAAAAATAACTTGAACTTATTACTTTAATCTCAGAAAATATTTCTAATGATAATTCTCTCTCTAATAAAAATATTATTATAAAGACTTTTCTCTTCAAATAAATATCATCTACAAATATTTTAAATATTTTAGACAAATATGATTATTTTTTTATTAAAGATGACAGAAATATAAAAATAGATACCTGAAATTTTATTGTTATTCCATAACTAATACTCTTTACATATACTTCTATTATTAAAAAATCAGCGAAAGATCTTTTAATTCAAACTATTATTAAGATTAAAGATGGTGTAGCAATTAATTTCAAATTTACAATATGTTGCAACATAAGTTAAAATTAGTTATAACATATGTTGTAACATTATAAGTTGCAACATATAGAGATCAAAACTAATTGCAATATACAGTCATAACTCAATATAACGATTCTCGATATAACGATCACTTAATAAAATCTTGTTAAAATGATTTTTTAAAAAATTTGACTTTATATTTGAACATATAAAAATCGTTATATAGAACTTATAAATTTTGATAAACCGATT